ATATATATAATATATATATATATATATATATATATATATATATATATATATATATATATATATATATATATATATATATATATATATACATATATATATATATATATATAAGGTATATATATATATATACATACGTATATCCGTATATACATTTAAATATGCATACACCCATACATCCATATATATATATATATATATAAAGAGTTCCACTTTACACATAATTGTGTACGGATATCTTACATGGAGACTAGCTAAATATATTTATATATAGTATCCTATGGAATATCAGAACAAAATGTGATTTATTTGAGCCATATTTTTATTATACGCGTGTGCACGACTCCTTATTGAAACCACACATTGCTCGTGTCTAAAGTTATTGGTAGTGACAACACTCGGAAGCTATGCTACACAGGGAGATGAAGTATACAATTCTTACCTGCACAACAGCAGCTGTACTCCCCTTGCTGAGTGGAAATGAGAACATATTCGGACTTTGATTCTGAGATGCGCCCGAATCTTGCTTATTCGCCTTTCCCCGGGGACTTTGCATCGAACTCGTCTTTGAAGGTACTGTATTCACCGAGGGCGGTCTACTAAGCGGTTTACTATACGCAGTCGCACTCCTCAGACGACTGCCCGTGCCTACGGCACTTTCATTGTTGTCATTCGCACGGCTATTGCTGTGTGGTGATGAACGGCTATTGCTGTGTGGTGATGTACGGCTGTTGCTGTGTGGTGATGGACTATTGGAGTGTGCTCGTGATGTGCTATTAGAGCGGTTTCGTGATGCACTATTAGAGTGAGCACGTGATGCGGACGCTGATCTACTGCTGTCTCTGCTCGTGTCCGTCGACAGGCTCTTTTGGTTTCTGCCGCGTGTTCGCTGGGCAACCTGTTGGATATTCTGAAGGTCCACTTCCTCCGGTGCTATGACACTAAGTTTGGGTGAGTGTACTGATGTCAGCGATGTTATCGCATTCGTATCCGCAGTCAAGTCTGAATACGAATGAGGCGTCTCAGGAGGGTCTAAATCCCTCGATTTACTACGAGCCCTAGCTCCATCTTTATCTCTACGTCTATGAGGATACGTACGGGTAGAGTTACTCCCAATAGCAATCATTCCACTGTCACCAATGTTATGAATCTCATCCTCCAATGTATTCACAGCCCGCGCGCGCTTGGTGACGGGCGAGGGTGTGGTCTCTGTTGCAAGCGATGTAACAGCCTTATGGATCACAGTGCTGAGAGAGGGTCTTCTCGAAGAGAAGTCGAAATCCTGATCTGTAATGGTGTTCCTTCGAGATGGGAACGAGGAGCTTCCTGTTGATCTCGGGGGTGACGTAGGCGGTACTGTGAACTCGAGCCAGTCATCGTCGGACTGTGACATAGTGATGGTGAATTGAACCACTACCACAACTTGTACATCTGTTAATATGACTGAGATTTAGTTAAGAATGTAGGTGAGCAGGCAAAGATCGCGCTGACAAATTCTAGCAAAGTTTTGCCTCTGGTGTATGACTTATGAATAGGTATGTCTTAATTTACGATTCTATATGAAGTACATATATACAAAGCTACCTTACTGCCCAACATATATACCGTTCCGGTGTTGACGTCTATGGTGTAAGGTGCATATACTCGCACTTGCAGTGGCTAGGTAGGTTATACCCGGTGACTAAACACATCGCTCTCAGTCCACACTTGGATACTGCCGCATTATATGCCATACAACATATACAGAAGCGCTATATACAATAGCTCTGCACTCTCTCCGAGTAGTGGTGTATTACACCACTTACTTCTTTTTTACATTTCCGAGTGTAGGCTTTTTGGAGTGATGACAGCTATTTCTATTTTTAGGGTTTAGACTTTTGAGTAATAAAGGTAAATATGAAGAGCATAGTAAGCATCCCCTGATATTCGCCTCATTCCTCTCATAAAATAGTGAGAACACTCCTAAAATTCTGTAGAGAAAAATAAAACATGGATTAAAAATTACAAATTGACACTATAGGACTTAGGTTAGGAGAGGCTATCACAGCCTAAATGAATTATTATTCAGAAGGCTATGAAGCTATGAACAGTGTTTCTTTCAGAACTCTGTGCTATGATAAAGCAAATTCTTTCTTGCCATTTATTGTATTTTTATGAAAAATATGTTGCCCATTGACATGGGCGTGTTCGATATTTTATAGTAAATGGAGACTTGTGAAACGCCGGAGTTTCACAATGCCTCGCTAAAATGTAATCGCATGTAAATCAAAATACCTGAAATTTACTGTCCAGTCCAGGTGCTACAAAACACAGGCCATGTCTGCTGTCATAGGAGGTGTGACAATATTTCACACAAACTTCAAAAGTAATATACGCCAGGTGAGAGCCAAGATATACCAGCGCACTAGCAAAATAAATCTCTGGCGGGGCTGCCAAGTGCGCGACATTCAACAGGTCACCGTTATTAGTCGTACGTAATGACCTTTGCTCAGTAAGATGCAGTGATTTGGTATCGATCGGTGACTTTAAGTACCACACCGATATCAAATTCGGTATTAAACCCTCATCGCTTAAGCAGAATAGTACAGACTGAGCCATAACAGAAACCTCCTCAGTGAAGAGCGAGACGCCTACAGCACAAGTATAAGCAGAAATGCCTATAGCACAGGTAGAAGCAGCAATGCAAGCAGCACAGATACAGGCCTATCGGATGGTCGACAGTCAGTCGATGGGCACTGCCAGGGTAAACAATACAATGTTTGACCCATACCAACACTATCTGGTCTCAACTTAGTAGAACTCTAGAATAGAACAACTCGACATAGGTAAAGGAACATCGGCATCTTTCCAACTGTGTGCTAAACGAGCACGAATGTCCGAGACATCTGCTCCCAGCCCCTGCGAGGCCTGTAGTAGTCCAGTTAAACTATATCCGTTGTTGGGATACACGCGCAGATCGTGGTTATACACCTCCACAGCATCTTCGTATAGACCCGCATCCAACAAAGCCTTGCCGTAGCACTGTAGTACAGGCATGTGCCACTCTGGCGGCTCAATATAGTACCAAGAGTTCTGCGCGTCACTCGCCTTTTTCAACAGCCGTGTAGCACGTGTCTGCGTGTTCTCGGTCACTCCGTTCGCATTATCCGCCATCATACGTCCCAGCCCGGAGCTGTACGTGATTGGACCCGAATCAGGCGACTGCATGGTAGCATGTATCTTCAGCAAGATGGCAGCTTCTAATACCTGTTCCGCTACTTTCACCAAGGGGGCAAGCCTGCTATCCCCAATATCTAAACGAACGCGCTGCAACTTGGCCAGCTCGTGTTCGGCCAGAGTCAGACCCTCATCTACATCTCCCGCCACAATCACATGTAGATGCGCCAGTCCCCTGCTGTAGTACCTGACAGCGTGTGCAAACAATGGAGGAGGTTCCATATCTGGCACGCTCATCTTATCATCCAACACCAGCTGCCAGTCTCCAAACCGTACGTATGTGGTCAACGCAGCATTCCAGCCCTCCTGGGTGTTCGGATAGTCCTTCCTGTTCGGGTCCTTCGCGTAGATACTTCGCATCAAGCCTGCACCGTGCAGTGCATCAGAACGCATACCAGCCATGTTGGCCGAATACACACCCAGATATATATTGTGGCAGGGAAAATAAGCACTCATACCCCTGTCCATATACAGCTGATCAGCCTCGTTCGCCTTGATATTCGCACTTACAGCATCGGCGTATCGACCCGTGCGCAGGTATAGATGGCCAGGCATGTGCTCCAGGTGCCCCGAGCCAGTGAGATTAAGACTTGAGAGAACATCCGCTGCATGCTCGCCTAGACCAGCTCCCGGACCCCCATGACCAGGCACACCGGGTTCGGTCAGATGTAGATACAAATGCAATGCGAGTGGATGTAGTGTGTAGTGTGTGCGCGACTGATCGGCGCCCGGACCCAGCATTCCCACGAGTATTGTGTTGGCTTTGCGGGAATACGGGTTGAATAACCGAGCTGTGACGTTGGTATCGTCCATGGTCTCTACAGTGTAATAATGTGTCGACTCGAGCGTCATATAGCTCTCCGCCAACAGGGCAAGCACATCCCACCCACCCGATCCATTGTCCCCCACCTTTGCTGCCAGAGCCTCTAGGGCTTCTGCATAGGCTACGAATGTGGCAGTCTGATTGATGCGCAGGCGTGGCAGCTGAAAACGAACATTCATCGCCCCGATCAGCCCATACTCCAGCTCTGTGAAATCCTCAGGATTAGCTGTGATGATTCGCATTGCTTTTCCAATAGAATCGCTTGCGATATCTATATCGTCATCAGACATGTGGGGTTTATTTAGGTACGCACCATGGGAATAGGCCAGGCCAAAATAGCACATGGCACAATGGGTCGGATCAGCTTTGATTGCATTTCTGAAAGCCTAAGGTGATAAAGCAGACATGATAGGTAAATACACAACCAAAAAGGGAAAGATTACGTCCAGTATTTCAAATTTGATTTGCGTCTGTAATATGATAAGTGCGAACAAGATGAGGGAAATACTACTCATCCTAATTTATTCGTGGTGTTGAGCATAAAACTTTATCCCGGCATGACTTTTTCGTATACATACCGACCGAAATGTTGGCACGGATAAAGGCCAAGAGTTAAACAGTAAAAGTACACATATCGCTATAATGACTTATGACTGCCTATGTACACATACAGCACATAGTATGAGAGAAACACCCAATATCGTCAGTAGCCATGCCTCATTACATTAGACCCATGTATCAGAATCCACTAGATGCCACCTGTGTAATTGCTATATGAAACCTTGAAATCTCAGAGATGAAATGCGTGCTACCATCATAAACTAACTCATATAATATATATATACGAGCTCGTTTTAAACATATATATATATATATATATATATATATATATATATATATATATATATATATATATACAAACTCATAAACTCTGTATATTACACAACGAGCACATCACCAATATTAATTTCCGATATATCCTCACCTCTGCAGCTTCACGCTGGTTGAATCCAAACTCGTGCATCATGCCTGAATCGAACATCTTCTGGAGACCTTTCCCGCCATTGTGCGTGATTGGCATTGTGTAATTGCCTAAGGCGAGTGGGACAAGTGGTTGTGGTTCCCTTCCGCTGGATAGAGGGACTTGCTCGCCTAGCCAACTTGTAAGCCCGAGAAAGGCATTGTAAATCCAATCGATACGCATTGTGCTTGCTTGCTAGTACACAATTTGCAACTGAGACAGTTTTAGTGTACGTTGAATCGTATGAAGGAGTGATATATTTATGTATTCAATTCACCTTCCAGGCTCATTTAGAAGGCTACGTCGAAGAAGGGGACTTTCCAATAAAGGAATCCTATTATAAGATACTAATGGTGCATCCAATTTTATTTAATAGTTGCTAGAGAGAGATATTTTAGAGATGTGTCAAGTGGTGGACTGTCACAAAGTGCGATGAATAGCATATTACGAATGTGTTGTAATCGATTTTAGTTTTGTTTTTGAAAATAAATCTACTACGTCATATGTAGAAATGACTAATACAGAGAGCAATCTAAAATTGGCATTTGACAGAGAAAAAACTATTGCCTTCTTCTTGATAAGTAGGCACAAGGCTGTGGAAAAACCAATTATTTTTACGAGAAAAATAAATAAAATGCGAGCAGCGCCATGACCATAAACCGTTTATTATATTGGGAGTCAGGACTGGAGTTTATAAAAAAACGTCTATTGGTTGTGGCAGAAACTATGGAGTGCAAAAAAAAACGTTTATTGAGAGTTGCTTGGACTAGAGAGGAAGTGTATAAAAACGTTTATTGGGGGTGGGATGAACTGTGGAGTATATAAAGAAAACGTTTATTGGAGTGGCATCATCACTGGCGTGGACTGTGGAGCAGGTGTGGACAGTGGAGTTTTAAATGAAGTTCTACGGGATCGTCAGAGATCACGTCAGTGTCGCACTGGAGTACAAACACCTGGATCAGCCGTGAACCGGTGGTAGTTGGTACACAGGCCAATCCTTTTGTTAGCCCCAGGCGTGCTTCACTCACATTGATTGAAAGCTAATTTATCACAACCACATACATAACTACATACTGTTCAATTCCCATATTTTGCCTACGATGTTAGCTACCGAATATGGGAGGGCAAACTACATGCTGCTGGACCCGATGACTGCCAACCCCCCGGCTACTTCGGTGGACTCAATCACCAACACGTGTGATCTCGAGCACACATACTTTCCTCGCAGATCGATATTTAGGCAACGTAAGGGTACAATGGTTCCGTTGCGATGGTACGTGAATAAAATACCTGAAGAGAATACTAGTTTAACTAAGTGTAAGCTGTTGTTTGAGCCTGATGTGGTGGAGGTCAGGTTAGGAACCCCTGCACGCTCAGTGTTTGGTAGTCAGGAGCTTCCTCATGCCGCCAGGCGTAGGGCTGGGATGCTTGTAGCATCTGGACTGGATGCTGCTGCTAACTGCGGCAACTCTGGTGTTGAGAAGTCTGGTATCAATGTGGAATACAGGACTGCCATGGATGTGCAAGTGCAATTGCATCTGCCTGCTGATATCCTTGAGGATCTGTACACCCCCCCACCCAGTCCAAAGCCTTGCCGCAGCGAAAGTAACAATCTATTAGACCTACACACAAATACGCTTTTAATATGTGAAGAGAGTAATAGTATTGACTCAGGCGCTGGCCTGGAAGACGATGTGATGGACTTTGAGCTTGCGCTTGATGTTGAATCCTTGCCTGTAGAGTATGATCTGAGCAGCTTGAGTCCAAGGTTCTCAAGACCTGGATTGTGGAGCTACAACGATCCCTCGATGAGCTATGCTACCATGGAGGATGCGGATGACGATGATGTATTCATGAGCTTTGGGAGGCAGTCGTTTGACGAAGGAGTTTTGTCGAACGCTTAAGATATAGAATATGCTCTTTGAATAGTAAGGTGTGGATGTAGTGTAATGTAGTTATGGGCATCGAGGGACAGCGAGTTTGTACCTGAATGCGAATCCGTAATGATGTATAAGTAGATAGTGATAGAATTAGGTATGGTGTAATCGTGACGAGAGAGAGAACGAAGGAAAGTCTCAGTGCCGGGATCAGTGTGGTCGCAGTGGTACGTTATACCGTCGAGTGGTCTGTACTGGTGACTGCTTCTCGAGAAAATGGGATATATATATATATACAAATATATATATATAT